ATCCTCTTCCCCAGGAGCCTGGGTCCTCACTTGGTTCCTCTACCTTTTCTGAGGGCATCTCTTCAAACTACATCCCTCAACATCCAGGCCAGATGTCAAGCATCGTTACTCTGGAATGCCAGCCAGGTAACCTAGACTCCCTTATATAATGTTCCGTAATGAGGACTAGAGGTTCATCCAGGGAACGTTGAAGAAAGAATTGCTACTGCCACTACTGATGTTGTTAGGTGCCATAGAATTGGTTTGCATTGATAAAGACTCAAAATACAACAGAATGAGAATTTGCCTGAGCTTGTGCAATCCTTATTATCATTGGTATGAGTTAGTCCATTGTTGTTCATTTTTATAGATACGTATCAATTCATGCTCTTCAGGCTCTTTCTGATCTCATAGGAATAAGGGGGAGTACATACATTTAACGATTGGAGCCAATCTTCCATGGACTCCTACCAAGCTGTCTTCCATCTTCCTGACATGTTCCCTTTTATCTGCACACCAGACACAAGGATCTCTAACTCTACAAGTCACTTACTCAGTCTCCTCAAAGACAGGGACCATTTTCCTCCTTAGCAGACATCTGCCCCTTCTCACACATGATGAAGACTACTGTAGAATTCTCTAATATTTACTTGCATTTCTGTGGTGGAAAGGGAGGAGGATTCGTAAATTTTAACTTATTTCTGTTTTTAACACACATGTTTGTGTGCAGCTCTGATCAAGGAAAAACATGGAATCTGAGGAAGATACATACTACCTTAGTTCATTGATTTCACTTAATAAAACTATAAAATGTTTAAATTATTACAAAAGCAGAGGTACTATCATTGTTTTAAAACTGACCAGCCTGACACCACTTTCCAGGATATATTTACTTAACAGTTATAACAGATTCAGGTCTTTTAAATAATAATAACATGCAGTCAGAGGACATAATATTTCCAAATACTTCTTCATTCTTTACTATGTAGTGTGTCCCTGTGTAATACAACGAAACATTGGATTATCTTCTCACCCATCTTTCCATCAGGTTCATCAACAATATGGAACCCAGAAACCAAACAGGTGTTTCAGAATTCTTTCTCCTGGGACTGACAACAGATCCAGAAATGCAGCCCCTCATCTACAATATATTTCTCTTCATGTACCTGGTCATCATCCTAGGAAACCTACTCATTGTCCTTGTTGTCAGCTCTGACTCCCACCTCCACACTCCCATGTATCTCTTTCTTTCCAATCTGTCATTTTCTGATATAGGTTTAAGTACAACAGTAATCCCAAAGATGCTGCTGAACATCCAGACACAAAATCAGTCTATCACTTACATAGGCTGCCTCATACAGGCATGTGCTATTATGGTGTTTGGAGGTTTTGAAAACTGTCTTCTTGCAATAATGGCCTATGGCCGCTATGTGGCCATTTGTTGCCCACTGAGATACACAGTCATTATAAACCCTCATCTCTGTGGCCAGCTAATTCTATTCTCTTTGTTCACTAGTATTGTGAATGTCCATGTCCATAGTCTAATGTTTTTGAAACTGTCCTTCTGTAAACACCTGAAAATTCCTCATTTCTTCTGTGAACTTGCTCAAGTTATCAAGCTTGCCTGTTCCAATACCTTTATCAATGAGTTCTTGCTATATTTTTTAAATTTCATGTATGCTGGTATTCCTATTTGTGGGATCTTTTTCTCTTACATTAAAATCATCTCCACCATTCTGAAAATACCATCAGCTGGGAAATACAAAGCATTTTCCACCTGTGGGTCTCACCTCTCAGTTGTTTCCTTATTCTATGGAACAGCCTTAGGTGTGTACATTAGTTCTATATTTACAAAATCACCCAGGAAGGTAGGAGTAGCTGCAGTTATGTACAGTGTGATTCCTCAAATGATGAATCCTTTTATCTACAGCCTGAGAAACAGGGATATAAAGGCATCCTTGAGAAAACTCATTGGTAGAATTTGTTGTGTTTAGTGATCGTGTTATCTGTTTTGGATTTGGGATGCTAGAGTAAGGAATACTAAAGTAATTACTGGTAAGAATTACTAACTCTTCTATCAGAAAATTCAAAAACTGACCTCTGCTTATTGGCTCCCAGGACTTTACTTCTTCATAGTAAACACACAAAAAAATCTTCCAATATCAAACTCAAAAATTTGTACACAGCTAACTGTTATTTTAAAATAAACAAAAAACTCTAGTCATAAGGACTCTAATGTGCGCTATTGCCTTTGAAGTTCCTCTGACCCAGAGACTCTCCACTTTGCTGCAGGAGGACATCCCCTAGGGACACATAAGCTCCCTCCTTCCTTTTGCTCTTCCTCAAGGCCTTCAATGCCCACGTTCCCTTCTGTTGTCTCCCTGCACCACTTGCCTCTGAAAGACCTTTTGCTGTGGGAGACTACACCCTACATGTTGTTGTTATAAGTGCCATTAAGTCAATTCCAACCCATAGTGCCCCTATATGGGGTTTCCAAGGAGTGACTGATGAGCTTGAACCACAATTCAAATAGACCTTGCAGTTCAGCGCATTAATCCACAGTACCACACCAGGACTTGCTACATATAAGCTCTCAATTTTTCATTACCAATGAATGACTTC